GTAACTCCTCTGTCCGTATTAATCAATAATAATAATAATAATAATAATAATAATAATAATAATAATAATAATAATAATAAAGCTTTTGTGTTTAGCTTTAGGCGTTAAATGCGGTAGCTCTACGTTAACTAAGTTTGGTATTTTGATACGATCTAAGCCTACTGAGGTGTGCAGCAGGTCCAAGTCAGATAGACGGAATGCTGGCTGCATCAATATGGTTGAAGTGGTTCGGTTGCTTGTTGATCTCTAGTGCTTTGGCGCATGCCCGTTCCACCTGTGACCTGAATTTTGACTGGAGTGTACGTGTGCCGTTGGTTTTACGGACTGACTTAAGTGTGTAGAATGCATCGAATGAATCCCGCGCAGGTTCTTCGAACACGGTTGGATTTTCTGGAGGAGAACACGCATGTCGTTTATGTTCCGTGATTCGTGCATGGAGTTGCTTGGCTGTCTGGCCTATGCATTTGGTTGGACATTACGCACGGGGAATTTAGTAGATACAGTTTGTGCGGTGTTTTGGTCCTGAGCCACTACAAGGTGTTGTTGTGGGGTGTTATCGACCCGGGGGAATCTTTTAATGTAACGCCGAAGCACTTCTTGAATGGCATCTAAAGTTCCACTTCCAGACGGTATTCACCCGGTGGTTTCAAGATTTTCCTCCCTCTTTCTCACCATTCCGGATAGTCTCCTTCCAATTAGTTGGGCAAGCAACCCTTTGAGGTATTTATTCTTATGTGATATCCTACTGAGTCGCTTCAGTTCGTCTGCTTTTATGGGCTCATCCGAGCATAGTCTCTTGACATGATTCTCCAACGACTGCGCGTCTGACGTAGTGTGGGTGCGATGGCCCATAGTGCAACCGCCTGTCTGAATGTGTGGATTTTTCCGCCGAGGATCCGTGGTTTGTATTAACAGATAGCTTGCAATCCGGAAAACTTCGTCCCCTGATCGCCCTGGGCTTCATTCGTGAGTTTTGTGTTCCTGCATTGTTCGTTCAAGCTTCCTGAGAAGGCTTGTCGTTGTGTGGCTGATACGACCGCAAATATGTCCGCGTATCAGCCAGCTGTGTGGTAGATGGGTGAAGTTACGTAAGGCCTTGGTTTCAACAGGATGGAGGAAAATATTAGCCACCTTGGGTTATACTAGAGAGCTCCTGGCGACTCCGTCACTGCCCATAGACTACGTATTGAAAGGTGAAAGAACTTGCTCAGACGCAGTTGAACACCAGTAATGATATCATCCTGGGAGAAGGCTGTTCTCTGTGCTGCAGATATGTCGTGGCACAAAATACAGGACAGAAAAGATAAATAACAGTTGGTTGGCGCGCTAGCATAAAGAGCCGTTACGCGATAACTGACTGTTACTTCGCCATTGATTTTGGAGTATAACGAGATTGCTAGCCAGTAATACTCCCTAGACTGCTCAAGTATTCGGACCAGTGGAGAGGGGCGAATCTTGCCGCTGTGGGTAAGGAAGTGCGATCCGTTTCCTTGCGCGGAAAAGTGAATAGCCCGTTTGTATCATTTTGGTGAACAGTGTGGGTCCGGACAAACAACCGTCCCCGGTATCATCCGGTAAAACGTGAGTGGTAATCGCGGGGCATCATTAATACATGTCCCAATGTTGTGACAAAAATCTGGCAGCAACTAGGACCTAAATAAACATAGACTGGCCGGGTGTCGTTTCGATCGCGTTTCAGCACCTCAGGTCTAAATGGCGGCTGTGATGTGTTCCTACGAACGATGCTATGTACAGGTGACATTTCAACTTGTTTACCAAACCAAGCCAAGTGAGATCGATATGTGTCCCTTGATGTAGTGTGACGATAGACTGCCAGTTCTTGCGACATCAGCATTTTCAGACGACAGTTGGTTAATAAATCAATGACGATGACTTCAGACTTAGTACTGTGATGTGGCTCTTGTGTTTTTTGGATTTAAACCCACCATATTGAACATCACATCGCGCGAAATCTGTTTAACAAAGACATGATTTTGGTTCGGAACTTCCCTTTCTTGTCAATACTCGGATCACGTTGTCAAAGAAATGTAGGAATCGGGTTAGTCGTCGTTTATTCAAGTAGTGACTTCTTTACAAAAAGATCATCCCCACGCCAATCTTAGTGTGAGCCCACCTTTCACCTTTTAAGGTACAATAGAGGCGCTGAATAGGTGAAAACCTTGGTGGAACTTACAATCAATTTGAATATGTTCAAACTTCGCCACATCTATCTCAGAAGCCAAAGATGCGTAAGATGAGCCACCTCTTCTGCCAAGAGAACGCCTTTCCACTCAGAGCAGCAGGGAGCTTAAACGCTCTCACAATCCGCTTTGTAATGACTAACACCATCTGGTCATTCACCCGTGCCCTCGGTCTCCACATATCTGATCATCCGAAGTCAAGTAAGCGCCTGATACATAGGATTTCTGGGATGGAAACGTCAAGGAAATGAGATATTGTCCATAATTAGTTAGGCAATAGTGCTGCCCTCCTGTGATTGCAGACAACCTTTGGAAGGAAGGTCCTGAATCCTTCACACACCCAAGGGTTGGCCGTCAGCGCCAGCAAAGCACCGATTGCTATCGGAAACAAATAAACCTCCCAATGAGTCCGGTGCTTCACCAAGGATATTTTCCCATAGTGGGAGCATCGACGTTCATACAGATGTACCCTGGCCCCCGTAAATTCCGGTTAGGTTAGCCTCCAGTATCAAAGTGACTCAGTGTATTGGATCATTGTATCGGGGTGCGCTTCCCAAAGAAAGCTGCAATGAACGCCTCTCCGCACTTCGAATCTTTGGGGTAAAGGCAGCAGGGGGTTTCCGGGGAGGACCTCTCTGGAGCACCTTGTTGGTCCGATGTTCAAGCCATGTGCTTCCAACTGGCCACTTATACTGACCGCTTAGTTAGCTCTGTCAAAAGGCTCTAATTTATTCCTCCTTAGTTCCTCCCCAGGCTAAAAGCCTTCGATTATCTGATCTTCACTTATCTGGTTGAATTGCCTTATTCAGTTGATTGATGAGTTCCTATTAACAATAAGCAAAACTTACATAAATCCGTAAGATCCGTTCTAAATATATGTTTCAAATGTCCTCACGCTGTATCCGGTTGGCATAGATAACGCTTGCCCACACCTATACTCAATTACAGCTGTTGTATGTTGTGACTCTCAGATACGTATGAAAGAATCAAGTGTGCCGGGTTTTAAAGGACCTACGATGAACTAAGCTTTATATCTTTTACTCCTTTTATGTGTGGTGATGCAGTAGTGATTATTCTTGGAATATGGCGCTCGGGAATTAGCACTTAGCTCATTGGCTGTGATTATTTTCCGAAATGGACTCCAGTTGTAGTATACACCATGTGGCGGGCTGGGTTCCACCTCAATTTCTCTGCATGGAGAACAGAATGAAGGCTCATAACCCGAAGCCAAGTAGGCAGGGTTGTACATCACCATACTTACATTTGAATCAACCAAAATGGCGTGCACGGCAGACCACACGGTTGACGATCATCTTCGCATTCAAGCCAAGGTTATTTTCAACCCACGAATTTCAAGGAATAATACACAGGATCGGGACCTTGGCCCAAGGTTCCATGGTTAAGCCTGTATTTCTGGTTCAGCGGCCTTCATTCGTCTGAACAGGAAAAGCGAGTAAGAGTTCGCCTATTATTTGCAGAAGCAAAGTGAATTCTCGAAAACGACAGCGTATACAAGGTCACCACTTTGTAGCTAAGACTGAGTCTCCCTGCAAATTCTCTGTATAGATGATATTGTTTAGGTCAGCGGACCATCAAGGCCATCAAGTACTTTGGAAAAAGACGGATCATTCGCACAGTGGAATCGATTCCCTGAAAGCTACGGCATTTTCAGGCCTGCCACTTCATAGCGTAGAATGTCCATGTATAATGTACATGTTTATGTAATATTGCAAATTATGATGATTTGTTTAAGTGAGCTAATCTTCAAGGCCAACTAACGCCGACCGTGAATATGCTGTCTAATGCAATAAGAAATCGCGAATTGTGGAAAACTGTAACTTACAATGAACGGAACTTTCAGATAACTTACCGGCTGAAGTAATTCCCTGAGCATTCTAGAATCTGCATGGCCTTTGAGGATGCGAAATTTGCAAACGTGTATTGCTGCAAGCGACTTTTGCTCGATATTTGCTGTTACCAGTTAAAATTACGTAGTTCACCTCACTGTTGGCTCGATTCCCTGAAAGCTACGGCATTTTCAGGCCTGCCACTTCATAGCGTAG